AGGGATGTAATTAAAGTTAAACGTGGCAGTCTACAAGCCAGGAAGAGAGCTCTCACCAGAAACCAAATAGGCTGGAACACTCACCTTGGACTTTTCAGCCTCCAGAACTATGAGAAAATACTTTCCTGTTGTTTAAGCCACTCAGTCTATAGTATTTTGTTATGGCAGCCTAAGCAGACTAATATAGATAACATACAATTTTTTTCTATAATCTGGTTACTTTCCTCTTGACTAATCTATCACCCTCCCACCCTCATATTGTCTGTCCTATTGCATCTAACACCCTGCATTTCACAGAATCACCATGATGCCTCTGGGCCTTTGCACATGATCGCCTGGTGTGTCTGCAATGCCTCTCTCTCCTTTTGGGTCCAACTCCTCTTTCGTCCAAATTGATGGGTTAGGCCACCTTCTTATATACTTCCATGATATCTAATGATCACATCTATCATAAAAGTCACCTTGCTGTACAGCAATTATCCATTTCCCAGTCTGTTTCCTGGAATAGATTCTTAAGAAAGGGGCCACTTTTTAAACCTCTGAACCTCTCTCTACCTATTAGGAACATATTGAACATCTGAATAAACTAGTTATAAGATTTTTAGTTTAGAGAGCACTAGACAGGACTACCTTCTCTCTCTGCCACTTGTCAGATCTTACTCTGAGAAGACGACCTCTCTCTTTTTGTATGTGTCCTTATCTATCTGATTATGATAATGATACCATGGTTCCCGATTGTTGAAAGGATTAATTGCAAAGTGGTTTCTGATTATGGATAGTGCAATAAAAGCTGGCTGAAACCAAATCAAATCGATCCATCCTTTCAGGGCCAATTCAATTCTGCATTTGCAATAAAGCCTGTAAAAAGATCCATAGGTAGAATTGATTGTATCTTCCCTCTCCTTTCACAGACTTTGTTGATAGCTCAGTTACGGCATTTATCAGAGTTTTCCTAACATTAGCGTGATTGATGTATGTATCTGCTTCCTCTCCTCTGGCGATAAGCCCAGGTGGGCAGAGAACAGGTATTTTCCATCCTGCTTCCTTCAGTTGCCGAAATGAGTGGCTCATACACAGAAGGCACCCATAGGCATGAGTTGAATGTGAGAAAGACAATAATGAAGTAGGTCCTGTGTGCTGTTGTATATTGTCTCTAATAGTCTTTAGATTTTTCAGAACATTCTCCACAATTTACTTATTTTTAATTGAGATAGAATTGACTTATATTAGTTTCATGTGTACAACAAATGATATTATATATGACATTATGAAATGATCACCACAATAATTCTAGTTAACATCCATCATCACAGTTACAGATTTTTCCCTTGTGATGAGAACTTTAAAGATCTACTCCCTTAGCAACTTTCAATTCACAATTTATGTTTAAAATGTCAATGAGCGCTGCTTAATCTGCTCTCGATCTTCCCATTTCTGAGTTACTTCACCTTTTATTGATTAGGATTGACCTATAGGCTACGACTTCTTGCTAAGGGTTCACTGTTGACTTTAAATGGGATTTGAACTCAAATGCGTGATTCAATGAGTCAATCGAGTCAGCAAGCAAATAAGAAAAAGCACATCCTCCTCCCTCCTCCAAGCTTCTGTCTCCCTCTAGGGCCCCCTATTGTCAGAACCTAACAAGGAGCCAGCTGGTAAAGGAGAAATGCTGTCTGTGGAGGTCCAGCCCAGAACTACAAGGCAGAACATAGAGAGAGACGTGTTAGCTGACAGACAGTTGCCTATGAATGGGCACAATGATAATTAATGAAAGTGAATGCACCTTTTACATTGTATATTCTTGTAGCTCATTCAGTTTCAATCGGATGCTTTCAATCCATGAAAGAGTGAAGCTTTCACTGGTATTGTGCGGGGGATGAGGAGATGTTAAATAATTTCCAATTTTGTTATCAAGCAGGTAGGGCTTTGGTTTCTAAAGAGAAGTGCATGGTTCTACGATGGGTTTAAGAGTTTGCCTTTAAAGAAACTACTTTAAAATAAAAGAGGAAGCCAGGAACAGGGAAGGGATTCTGGAAAGCAAAATTAAATCCTGGGGAGATCGGGTTTCTACTGTTTGATGGCAGAAATGGCATGAATTCCAGCCTAAGTGCCATTCCAGAATGAAAACGGCATCCTACGCCAGAAAACGGACTGGTGCTAAGTTTCTCTAACTAGAACAGTACTGAGTGCTGGGGTACAGTCCCAAGGGCGAAGCGTGTTAGTTTGATAAATGAATTACCAGCCCTATTCCGCTGACTCCCAGACACAACGTTCAAGGTAGCCTTGGCTAGTAAACAGGGGTGGAAAACATATCCTCACACATTTGCTTCATGCCTGAAAAACAAGCAATTTAGGAGAAGACATCTGGACATAAAATTTGAACGGTGCTCAGAGCCCGTCAAAACATGGATTGGATGGGCTGGCGTCTGGCTGCTAAGCAACGTACTCCTTACATTCAAAACACAGTTGTAAAAGGAGGACCTTGGTGCCAACTCTGGGTATTTCTCATTGAAAAGAAAACAGCCATAAAAGTTCTTCTTTAGGTCTCAAGCTATTTGATTTCTATGCGATAGATGAGCTCAGATCCTTTCTCCTCCAGCTCTCCTGTTTTCTACACGCTTAAGTATTAGGTGAAGAATAACTTCCCATTTTGAAGCACTGTACTTTCAAATGAATGCTAAATAAGGGTCTTGTAATATTTTGCTGAGTGCCCTAATTAATAGCACTCTTTTAAATTAGGTGTATATATTCATAATATACACACTTTTCCGATATTTGGTGCTCATCAAGTTCGATATACATACCAGAGGGCCAACCACAAGCTAAATGAGATTTGCTTAACTAAAAGTCTGCTTGCTTCTCTTTGGCAAGGCGGCCAGGGAGGACCCATGTCAAATATTTTCCATGTGTGGACTAGTTCGAAAAATGTGTCTTATTATAATACTTACTAAAATTAAGATAGATTGTTCATTTATTTCTCCCTTTTATCTCTTTAAAATGCCTTTAACTTTTTAAAATGTACCGATGTGTTTCAGAGCTTGGAAAACAGGAGTTAACTACCCAAACAAAAAACAAACCCAGAAAAAGCAACAGACAGATCATAGAATCACTGACTAGTTTTCTTCTTTTCTGAAAAGCAATTGGGAAAATTACGGGGCAGGAATAGGGAGTCATAGGGTCTTCTATTAATTTTTATTTATTTAAAAATTTATGGAATGGGCATTTGTATTTAAAAATGAAAGCGAACTATTAAAATGACCTACTCTTTGGAGCAGCATGCCTACAAAAGCATTTTTTTCCTCTGTCTTTAGAGAACTTCCTTCCATAAACTCTCTGAAGCCTCCTTCTTGGCAGCCTCTTGCGATATAGCCAAGCAAGGAATTCAGACATGGAAAGTTGCTTACAAAAAAAGGACTTGGAAACCAAATAAGAAAGGGATAGTCTTACAGGAGAACTTCACTTCGTACGGAAGGCTACGAAATGAATGTTCTTCCGTTTCAAAGATTAATGTAGTGCAGAGAAATTAAAGGATGGTTTCCAGAAGGTCACTCAATGAGGAGAAAGATTTTCCATCGCGCATAGCACTGTGCGCTGCCCGACTCTCCCTAAACTACTGCCCTCCGGCGTCTGTTTACATGTGGTTTACATTTGTGTCCACCCCAGGAACCACAAGTGTTTCTCCACTCCAAATTTATCATCGCTTTTCCTTCATACCGGGGGTGCCTCAGTAAAAATAGGAGTATTAGCTAGTGGAGCTGTGTGATTCTGAAACCTGGTGCAAGCCATCATTGAATTTCCTATCCCAGCTCTGGTTGTTCCATTTCATACCATGATTTTCCACAATATTTCAAAGTTTCTAATCTTTCATCTATCCTGGATGGATCTCAAACACTTAAAGAATGAGCTTTAAAAGTCAGTTCTTACCAAGCATCTCAGAGGCATGACTTAAAACTGCCAACCAGAGTAGAGTTGTGAAAACTGAGGCTCAGAGTTCTGAGCAAGTCAGACTCACAACTAACCCAGACTTTGTGTCTGAATGTCACCCTTGCGTGATGATCTAACAATTGTGCAAATAGACGCTGTGTTCTTCCCAGAACTTCTGGGCCTTTAAAGATCATTTTCTTTCCCTTTCTATAACCATCCTTTTTAAAAAAGATGGTTCTCCCCGGAAAACATTCCTTCCTCATGTCTTGACTCTTTGCCCAGATATCTCCACACTGGGGCTTCAGAAGATATTTCATGCAAAACCCAAACATGCAAGTTGGATATGACCCTTCAGTGGCAGCTGAGGAGTGCACAGTGCTTGAGTGCACTGGGTAAGGAGGCAAAGGAGTTGCTAAGGAACCTCATAAGATTCCGTTTCTATGTCCTCCTTGTCCCCCTGCATTCCTTCCTGCCCAAGAACTGACATTCCACCAAGGCGGTCATGTCAGAACTCCATTAGGAAGCCTGATTGAAAAAAGAGTCCTTTGGAAAGTCTGCCCTCAACTTAGTCCCAGAAGAGGCTCAAGTAGGAAGGTATGAACACTTACAAAGGAAGGTCATGGATAAAAGGGACTACAATGGATGAACCTTCAAGCCCTTTCCATTAGGCTCGACAAAGTTACATTTTTGAGTTCATTGGAAAGTGGAAGATCCCTGATTCTAAAGACAAACTTGTTTTCCTCCTTTCCCCATTTAGCTATGTACCTTTTCCTAAGCATCCTAGTCCTTTCTTAACATATTTATGCATCGATGTCACCACATCTCAGACTGGAGACATCCTGCCCGATTGATTGGTTGATGGATTGGCTAAGCAGGTCTGGTCACTTAAGGCGTTATGGCTGCTGGGGCTACCCTGAATCAGAGCAGAGCTGGAGGCTGGCTGGGTTTCTTGCAAGAAGCGGCTAAGCAAATCTAGAGTGACAGGGGGTTTGTGGGAGAAGAATGGCGGTCAGCAAGACTCCCTTTGACCTACCTTCTTATCCCAGGTTTGGACCACCCACCCAGGCTGGACCTACCTCTCGAGTAAACAGAATGGCCGCATCGTAGTGCTCCTCATGGTCATCCCCCAGCTGGTTGTGCTGGTGCTGCCACTTGCAGAAGTTCTTGAGTGTGGTGGCCGCGTTCTTGCTCACCTCCAAGCTCTTGTCCTTGTCACCCAGTACCACCATCTTCACCACGGCCAGGCGGATGTGGTTCTCAATGCTGGCGTGGCTGTACAGCCGGTTGGCGATGGAGGCCAGGGTCAGCAGGTAGTGCTGCAGGCCCCGGCCGTACATCCGCGCCATGGACGCGTCAGCCACCAGGAGCAGCTCCACCTGGCGGGCCCGGGAGATGGAGCGGCGCCGCCGCCGCCACGTCTGTGATCCCTGGCCCCCATCGGACGAGGTAGCCGACTGGTCAGGGAACTGCGGGGCCAGCGCCCAGCGTGGCTCCGGGCTGCTGTGCGCCGGGGGGCGCTCACGGGACCCTGGCGGCGACGCGGGGGTCTCGCAGCTGGTGCGCGGCGGTAGGGCCTCAAAGCTGAAGCCTTCGCGAGTGTAGACGTGCAGGATCCGAGCGGATCCGTCCCCGTACACGCGCCCGGTCTCTGTCTCGGCCCAGGGCCCGCGCAGTAGCGGCTTCAAGGTGTAACGCGCGTGCTTGACTGCGAAGAAACCGTCGAGACCACCGCAGAGGTCAAAGACAGCCAGGGAGCGGGGGCTGCCGTCCACCGTGCCCCGGTAGAAGCAGTGGCCCCGGTGGCGCCGAGTCGCGCTCGGCCCGCCTCCTACGGGCACAAAGCCAGCGGCGCCCACCGAACCATCCCGCTCCAGGTCCAGGAGGAACCTCCGGCCGCCTGCGTAGACGAGGTAGCCCACCTTGCCGCCGCCCGAGTAGATCTGGTCGATGTTCTGCACCAGCCCGCTGCTCCTGCGCTGCGGCGCCAGGGGGTGCGGGTGGCCCGGAGGCTCGGCCCGCTCCTGCGCCTCCTCCCCCTGCCGCCGGCGGGGCTGGGCGGCCGCTGCAGCAGCCCGAGGCTGCCCGGTTTTATCCTGGGCAGGTGCCGCGGCGGGGCCGGCGGCGACCAGGGGCAGGCGGAGCGCGCACAGCAGCAGGGACGCCCACCCGAGCAGCATAGTGCGCTGCCCGCGGGGAGGGGCTGCGCGTCGGGGACTTTATGGGTATTTGTTATTCGCTATGGAAGTTACCGGGGCGGGAGGTGGGGGCACACACACACTTGCTTGCAAGGTTGAGTCAAGTGTCGGAGGGAGGGAGGGGGACCCGGCAGCAGCGCCAGCCTGTCCTGGCCGCAGTGCCAGCGTGCGAACTTTTCTTTGTTGGTTTGGAAAATGTTTGGATTCGTGCTCCGGAAAGAAGAAAAAAAGAAAAAGAGGAAAGCCGGGTGGTTGAGATTCAGCAAATATGAGAAAAAGGGAAAAACCCCAATCCAACCCCCAAAGGCAGCCGCTCTCGCTGCACCAAGAAAAGTAAGGAAGGTGCCGCGCACCAGGCAGGCAACTAGTGCGCGCTGCCACCCGCCCCCTTGCCGCTCTGGACCCGCCGGCGGAGGGGGTTCCAAGCTCCGGAGCCCACTTCCTTTCTTATTTTGTGGGTTTCCTCGACTCTACTGGAACCAGGAGGAAAGGAAGAAAGAGAGGAAAAAAGGCCATAAAAATTAAAACAAAAATGCCAGGGGCGGCCTGCGGGGAGCCAGTGAAGCGGCGCGTCCGTGTCCCTTCGGATGCTGTGTCCTCCTGCCCGCCGTCATCCCCAGTCGGCCGCTGCGAGCGCGGAGAGCAGCGCGAGCGCTGTGAAGATGCGAGGAGGTGGAACAATGAATTTATAGCGGCATGCCATCCTGCAATGGCAATTTCAACAATTCGTCACTGCAAGCTGCCTCTTAAAGGGAGAGCTTCCCCCACCACTCCCACCCTTCCCGGTCCGCGCCTAATCAGATGGGGGAGGGCGGGCGAGCCGGATGATCGAGGAAAGGGAGACCGGGAAAGAGGAAGGGACCGGGCGAGGTGGAAGGAGGGACAAGGGAGGGAGCAAGGACGAGGGGGGAAAAAAGTATTTGGGTAAGAAAAACATATTTCCTTGGCTTGCTTAAAGCCACAGCGGCTCTGGGTTTGTCTGATGTTTCACAACCAATCCGGGTTGGCTAACCTCGGCTTACCTCATCTCCTGAACGGGTGTTTTGGTGTGTTTTTAAAGTTACTGAGACGTTTCAAGTCTCTCCCTGCCTCCTTCTCTCCTGCTTTTCTGTCCCTCGGTAGGAAGTTCCTGCCGCAAATTTTTCCCCTTGGCAAGCCCGTGGGCTCCGGCCTCGCAGAGCCTGCAACTCCATCCACCAGCAAACGGCTCGCAGCTTCCCGTGCGCCCCCTCGCCCCGCACAACTCTTTCCCGCTCGCAGCCGTCCGGGGACCGGTTTCCCTCCCTCCCCATTCCCTGGCTTCTTAGCGCTCTGACGCTCGCTGGGTTCGAGCTCCGGGTGACTAACTTCTCCCGGTCACCAGCAGAGGGGCCGGGCAGCCGGAGAGCCGCAGGCGCTTCCTGGCGCGACGCTGCGCCCTGAGCGCGGCGGTGCCCCGGGCAGAGCCGCCCGCCGCCTGGGAACCCCGCGCCTTTGTGTGCGAGCCACGTCCCCCAGCTCCAGCGCGCCTTTCATCGGTGCCCACAATCTGTCACTTAGTCCCGGATGACTGGAACTTCCTTTGCTTTGTTTTAAGAAGGCAGGGCGGGAAAGAGTTAACTCTTGAAGGGAATTGCGCTCGTTCTCTTTTTCCATAAGATTTAAAAAATTTGTGCCCACACTTTCTTTTCTTCCTTCTGCTTAAACGGCAATTAAATCAGAACTCTCCCTATTGGTATTTCTCTCTCCTAAAACAACCACTCATCGCCCTAGGCCCTGACCTATTATCATTCTCAAAAATTCCTTTTAGGAGGAGGAGCGGACTGGAGGGGGAGGGGCGCAGGTTGGTGCCTGTTAGTACTTGAGTGACATTGTCTCTGTGACTTGGTTTCTCTTTCTTTGTTTCCTCTAATTATCACCTCTAATTGAATAGAAGGAAAATCCAACTTCTAACCGTTGCTGCCTGGTGATAGTTAGAAGGGCTGTCTACTGTGGGGCAGGGGCACCTTCCTCCCCTTCATTCTTCAGGCAAATTAATGAATACATCAGGGAAAGATGAATCCGGTATAATTAGCCCATTTCTATCTTTCTACTTTTGTTTGACTTAAAGGGATGCGGAGGGTAGCAGGGTTTTGCTGGATCCTTACTCAAGCATCTGATCACTTCTTCAGGGAGGGAATCAGGTGTGTGCTGGATGGATGTGGGGTCCTCAGAGTGTTCATGATCCCCGGGATGATTCCAGAATTGCCCAGCAGTGATGCCCGCCGCCCTGTGCCTGGAGCACCCTCTGGAGTCCCCTGGAGGCAGAGTGAAGGCTGTCCTGAGAGTTAGTTGCGCTTATGAATGAAGTGATCACTGAGGCCCGGGACCACTCAGTACCTAACCCCTGGTGGATTCCGAAGTATCTCCAGACCTGGGAGGAAGTTGCTATTGCTGAAGGCTCTTGCCTTTTAGTTCCACACCCTCTCAGCCTCTCAATGGCCGGTTGCCCAAGGCCAAAGCTACCAACAATATGTTGAGGAACCAGAGACCTTCCGGATCAGGATATAAAGGAGGATCTAGATTCCAGCAATTTTCTCTGTCCCTCCAGGAGCCTTCCAGCCTTGTGGTCCACGTGCCTATAGAGAGCAAATTTTCTTTTTTACCAATTTCAATGGAAGGTAGTCCAATATTTGGCACTAAATGCCATCTCTAAAACAACATTGATTCTGTAATTTTCTCTTTTTTCTTTTTCGTGAGGAAGATTGGCCCTGAGCTAACATCTGTGCCAGTCTTCCTCTATTTTGTATGTATGGTGACAAATAAAAATGGCAAGTAATAGGATATATTGGAGTATATGAGGAAGCCATTTGGTGTAAACCTAATTCGGCCTGAACTTGTCTTTCCAAAAGGGCCTGACCGTGGCAGTTGAGCAAGCATTGTATATCTGCTTTAGACATTCCCTATGGCAAAAACAAAGGCCGTTGAGATAAAGGTGCAACTTCCCTCCCCCTCCCAACGTTGGCATTTCCTTAAGGATTAAGCATCTTTCCTTAGGCTAGGAACTGATTGCTGCGCTCACCTGTGACCACCCAGCTGGAGACAATAGACTTGCCTCCTGCTACGCCCTCCGAGATAGCAGACCCACCACCTGCTGCGTCCATCAAGCGCTGTGCGGACAGGGCAATCTTGTGACTATTGTGGGAGACGCATTTCAATCATATGTGAAACATCCTGTTTGGGGGTATATAACCACTCTGTACACCTCACTTCTTTGGTGCCCTTTCTTCCTTCGTGAAGAAAGGCCCCGGGCCATGGTCCTCAGATTTCAGCTCAGAATAAACTTGCCCAAATTTTCATTTATAGATTGATTATGGATTATTTTCGTCAACATTTCGATGCTGCCACAGCATGGCTTGATGAGCAGTGCGTAGGTCTGTGCCCAGGATCAGAACCTGGGAACCCCAGGCCTCTGAAGCTGAGCACGTAAGCTTAAGCACTATGCCACCAGCGTGGCCTCTTTGATTCTGTAATTTTAACCATTTCATCATTGTTCATCTCAAAGGATGGTTCGGATAGACAGGCATTTTAGATGTGTTTAAATTTAATTACAATTGTTTGCGTTCACAGAAAGGAGATTTCTTATTTACCATTTAAGGAAATTCCAACGGAATTTTCTTCTTAGTGAAGGTCTTTCTCCTCTTTCAAAAACATTACATTTCTCAAGTGAATCTGCCTCTGAATTTTATCGCTTTAAGTTTAATTACATAATGACATTTGTGCTCAGATTATTCAAACGTTTAGAAATGTATTGAAGAACAGAACAGAAACAGATAAAGCTCCCAACATGAATATCAATTACTAAATATTTAATAGAACCACACATAAACAGGGAAGGAACTAATACCCCCTATAAATTTAATGAGTAAATTCTTATACATTCAGAAAATTTCTACCTGGATCTACTTTTTTTTCTGTGAAAGTAACTTGGATACTTTAGGAAGTTCATTTGGTAGCACTTTTTAAATATTACCCTAGTGGGTTAGGATAAATTGCTATGTTCCAGAAAAATGAATGTCTGTCAGTCCAACAAAGTAATTTGTACTGGATGAAAGTAGCCCAAGTTTTCATTTTTATTTTTTTACAGTAAAAAGATAAAATATATTAGCAATCATTTTAGGTGGATTAATTGCTACTTCATTATTTTGTTATTCCAAGTAACAGTTTTTTTAAAGGATGCTTTTTGTTTTTTGTTTTTTGTTTTTTTTGGTGAGGAAGATTGGCCCTGAGCTAACATCTGTTGCCAATCTTCCTTTTGTTTTCTCTCCCCAAAGTCTGGGTACATAGTTGTAAATCCTTCTAATTCTTCTGTGTGGGATGCTCCCACAGCATGGCTTGATGAACTGTGTGTAGGTCTGCACCTGGGATCCGAATCAGTGAAACCAGGGCCACCGAAGCTGAGTGCGTGAACTTAACTGCTGTACCATGGGGCCAGCCCTAAGTAACAGTTTTATTTGAGCATTTTTAGGGAGGTATTTCCACTGGAGTATATGATCACATCTGATATATAATTTTACATTTCCCAAAAGGAAGAGAGATTTTCTACTCCAGACTGTTACTGTTGGAAGTTATCTCAGAGATCATGTAAGGCAACTTCCTCCATCTACCAATGAGAAACTGAGAGCTGAGACCAACATGACTTGTCTGTGGTTTAAAAATCCTTAGTGGCCAGTTCTCCTGGAATCCAAATCCCTTACTCCCTTGCCTGGTGGTTAGTTACAACACCTCTTAAATCTATCCACTGTAACAAATATCTGTTGGAGTCCCACGGCAGAGTGCTCTGTGAGGTTCTCTGGAGGCATATGAAGATGAATAAGCCATGATTAATGGTCAAAGAAGCTCCCAGTTGGGAGATGGAGCCAACTGTACCAAAAGACGCTTGGAATACAAGCTGGAAACTACAGATACAGAGAGATAGAAGCAAGAGAATCGCTCCTGCAGGTGCCGGGAGCTGTGTGTCCTCAGGACAGCTTCACTCCATAGGATGTATGTTTCCCAGTCAGTCGTATTTTCTCAAATTTCCATTTGCTAAAGTGTCACTTCCTCCCCCTCCCCCATCTACAATTTTAATGGTAAGAGTGAGGAAATAACTGACAATAAATATTCCCCTCCAGCCACACACCTGCTCCTTCCCTCCCATGTGGGAGGATCACAATCTCTCCACTCTGTGTAACAGTGTTCCTTTCCCAGATCTGAATCCCTACCCTGGGTCTTGCTATATTGTGAGCTCCCTTAGGATCATCTCCCTCCCTGGCAGGACAGTGGGTACAGGGGGCAGAACATTCTACTGCTGCTTGAGGCTGTTTATGAATGCCTTCAAGACTCTGGGTCAGCCGGTTCCTCCAGCACCACTTAGCTTTGCAAATTCTAGTTCTCAGAAGACTCGCTTTAAAACCAAAGGTTATTTAGAGATACCTCATCTAAGTGCAATCATGCAGGATTTGACCTTCTGTGACTGGATTGTTTCACTCAGCATTGTGTCCTCCAGATTCGTCCATATTGTCGCCCATCAAACAGTCAAACTCATAGAAGTGGAGAGTAGAATGATGACTGCGAGAGGCTGGGGGAGGGGGAAATGGAGAATTGCCCTTCAACGGGCATGAAGTTTTAGTTGTGCAAGATGAGTAAATTCTAGAGATCTGCTGTGCAACATCATGGCTGCAGTTAATGGTACTATATTGTACACTTAAAAATTTATTGGCAGTAGATCTTATATTAAATATTAGTACAAAGCAAACCAAAACTAAAGATTACATTTTGGGAACAGGGAAAGAAGTATATTTACTATGTTGGCTTTGATATGAATCTTAAATTTTTAGGGGGTGAAACTATACTTGAACAACCCTTCTCTCTTTTTCCACCTCTTTACTTCCCCCTCCATCTCCTCCTATATCCCACAATGGTCTAACATACATCTCGGCATGCCAGTGCACATGCACAATCCTGCACACCTTACACACACAACGCACATCAGCATGCCTGTGCACACACACGCATACACTCACCTCAACACATTTTCCCTTCTAGCTGCACTGAACAGTGGATAGAAAGTTCTGATCAGAGCTGGGACAATAAGAGAGGGTTTTATACCAACTCCCCCTAGCCCCCTTGCAAAGAAAACTTTCTTGAGACCTGCATTGTAGAGATTTTTTTTTTTTTTTCGGAGAAGTTTACTGCATTCCTGATAAAATTCAAAACCATTTTCTCTACTATCTGTCTAGGATATATTACAGAACAGTATCTGTTGTGACAGAAAACATATGCTTCAGAATCAGTTTTACTTAATATTATAAAAAAC